ATCTTCAAGTAGTAGAATAATTCCTCCGCGATCGACCACAAAAAATGATAATTCAAAATGAAGTGTGTACTGACGATGTCGACAGTGACAGTTGAGGCTTCATAATTCAGCCATCCAAATTGGAGATCACAACAGCATATCAAGTAAATGAAGATGACAAGTAGAGAGTAAACCTCATGTTTGGTGCTTTTATAGGAGAGCTAAATTCTAAATACTGTAAAATATGGGTTTATAGAGAGCAGATTGTGGTTATTAATCACGCTGTATAAGAAAATCATCAGAACTATATGCTTACTGACAAAATCAACGTCGAACTTTGCACACAGGTCCATAAGCTCAAGTTGCCACATTTTAGAGTAGTACAGAAGAAAAATGGGAGTAGAAAAAAGACTGGTATCAAAAAAAGTTGGGTAATGTGATAGGACAAGCAATTTAAAGATGGTTACTGAGAATATTCCAGCATTAGATGTCAAGGAGTGAATAAATTTGCACCATTGTGATCGATTTTCAGTCAAGTCACTGAGAGTTCCCAACCACTGATTTCTTTCATCTCGAAGACCCCAACCAGATACTCAACATCTCTCCACGCGGCTCACACTAACAGTCAGGGACTTTATACACTGATAACATCTTGGTTTGGTAACCCTGAACCCCCTTCCAACTTCCCTAGCATGGCACGTCGAGCGAGGTACGCGGTCGCTCGGCATGCGCAGTACGTGTCCAAGCCGTCTCAGTCGATGAAGATTTATAACCTCATCAATCGACTTGCTTATTACTTTACGTCTGACCTCAACATTGTTCATTCGGTGATTCCACCAAACGTGAGCAATGCTACGAAGACATCTGTGATCAAAACCCAGTAATTACCTTACATCTTCTACTTTCAACGACCATATCTCGCAGCTGTACAAAAGAACAGAATAAACTGCAGCGCACTATACTCGTCTTTCAACAGATACTCGGACATCTTGCCAGTTGGCGCCACAGGTGACTCAAGTTGGCAGATGCCGAACGGGCTTTATGTATTCGGACTGAAATTTCGTCGGGAAGCAACCCGTTCGTGCTGATGCAACTCCCCAATAAGTGGAATGGTCGACACATTCAATCACTTCACTCCTTATCATTAAACTGCAGAACACCAGTCCTGGAACATCATCCTACATTTGACAGGTGCCAGCGAAATGCATGCCAAACATACTTAGATTTCTCCTCAACGCGTCCACATGAGCCTGCATTTTGTCAGCGCCTTCACCTAAGGGGACAATATCATCTGCATACTAAAAGTTAAACAGATGACCTCCTGGGAGTAGACCGACCCCTGTGAAGCGAGACATATCTAGTTTAATGTCTATTAGTACATCTATGACAAAGCTAAGTAGGAACAGTGACCGTGGACATCCACGGCAGATAACACCAGCTGTCGTCAATTCATAAGTCCTGAAACAGCTACCTGAGTTTGAGAACAGAGCTTTGGTTAGCGTTATATACTTTCTCACTACTCTCTTCACTGTCAGACACTGCCGCAACATCTCACGGTTAACAGAGTCAAATGCCTCCTTCACCTCAAGAAATATGAAGAGTATCAGCCACTAGCCGGTAGGTATGTCTGTGTTCTAGAACCTGTTGGAGGTTAAAGCTTTGATCAGTGAACCCTCATCCAGAGCTGCCTGAAACGTAACTCGTTCTCTCGAGCTCCTGTTAGGTGTCGGATAACCATAGAACCTGGGATTTTGGACACGATAATAGTCAATCCAATTCTCCCTTTTTATGGACAGGGACGATCAATGAAGTACACCAGTCTGATGGCACTAATTCTGACTCCCATACATTACCTAATATTTCCGTCACATTAATTAGTGAATTTCTATCTCCATCCTTGAAAACTTCAGGTGGCAAACTGTTAGTTCCTGCTGCTTTGAGTTAATTTAGGCTTGAATTAGCTTCCTCAACTTCGATCGAAGTTGGAGGACCGACATCAACGTCCTATTCTGGTTTACGCTGCATGTTGAGCAACTGAAGCGTTGCTGATTGCCAGCTCAAGGGGGGCTTCAAAGTGTTCTGCCCAGCGTTTTAGCCACCTATCCTAGAGGTTATCAGCGTCCCATCCTTTTCCATGATGGTCTCACTAACAATCATTCTCTTCATACCGGTATCCTTAATAAGCCTAAATGGTTGCAGGGTGTTACCTAACGCTGATGCCTTCTCGATCTCTCTCGCTTTCAGTACCCACCGCTGCTCTCGAAGACTTTTAGTCAACCTTAAGTTTAAATTGCTTTCGCTCTTCATCGTGGTCAGAGACAGTTGGAATCAGACTTCTCGCATCAATCAGTTCAGATGACGTAGCAGAAATCAAATGACGTTCACCCACCTTTGGGTGTATGTTACCAGCCGTTTTTATCACTATCTGTACAGCGGAATTAATACCACCCAAGGTTTCCTCAGGATGAGCACTTTTGTCATGGTCAGATAAATGCTTAGCTAACTTCTCTTTAAAGGCATACTTCACGTTCTCATCTTTCAATCGAGCACAGACAGGCTTTACTATTGCCTATTTCCTGCGACCAGTAAGGTGCAGACATACACGAACTTGGACTAAAGCGTGATCGCAGTCCAAACTGGTACTCTAGAAAGAGCGGAAATTCCCCGACCATGGCTTATAGCAATATGATCTATGTTCATCGTTAGTTTGAAGTCGGTGGATGCCATGTGAGACATTCTCTCCTCATGCTTAAAGTTAGAGATTACCAGAAACAAGTGATTGTCGGAGCGAAATTGTAACAGACGATCACCATTATCAGGTCGTTGACATAGGATTCCGTAAACACTTCCCAGATGTCTCTCCATTTGGCTCAACTTCTCTACTTTAGCATTAAATTCACCTGCCATTGTGACTCTACCTGAACGTTTTGCTTTCTGGAACTAAATTGACAGCTTCTCATTGAATTCATCCTCTACATCATCCAAACTCCACTCGGTGGCTGCGTAGGTGGAGATTACAAATAGGCATTATCCAGTCTCACGATCCTTCCTAGTTTTCATTGATCCATTCAGTTGAATAGCACATAGACGGCTGTTCACTGGTATCCGGTCGAGAAGCACACTTTTTGTTCTTTAACTCAATGCTATGTCTATACCAGCGTGTCCACGGAAGAGTTAGCCAGTCTCCAGATATTCTCAAGGTGAGTTTTGAAGATTCCCTAGTATGGTCATGTGAGGTCAATTTAATAGTCACACTTGGGACTGGTATACGTGTCTCAGAGACACAGCATATATCTATGGCTACAAATCCCAATCAACTATCAACTGTACCATAGGCTGTTATACAGTTAATGCATGTTGCCGTGAGATTGGAAGGATGCCATAATCACTTCTGTCTCTTATGCAGACTCTGAACAGGGTAGGGTATTTAGAACCTACCGTTCAATTCACAACCAGTCATGGAAAAAAACAATTCCAGCGAATAAACATATCTTTCAAATTAGATCTACACTAACGCATAACGCACCCATTTAGTAGTGTTAGCAAGAGGACAACAGAATACACATATATATAATAAACACAGACCAAAAGATTGAAAAAAATTGGATCGAAACTGACCTTAGTGGTCACCCTAACAACAGCAGAGATAATGAATTACGGGCGACTTTGAAGACCACCTTAGCAACAGTCAAGATGACCAATCAGGCTTCTCCATTTCGGCTGGAAATGCAGATTATCGTAAAATACAGAGGTCTAATCGGTTACTTTAGTTGTTGCTGAGGCTGGACTTTAAAGTTACTCTGAATTACGCTTCTTTATTTCATGAAAAACTATTCCCAGCCGTAGTACCGAAAACTGATTTTCCTTTTAGTAGTGGCTGGGGTGGCGTTTAGCAACACTAACATTTATGGCGTGTACATTGGAGCGGCTCTACAGACCATTCGAACAACAACATATTCGCTCAGATTTTTCATGTTCTCGAAAAAAAATTCATATGTAGATGAGTAAAGTATTCACTGTAGGTATCTCATTTATCTTTTTAAGCATAATCGTGAATTATTTCACTGGAGGATTACTTACTACTCAACGTGATATAACCTGAGGAAAGGTAAGATGAAAATCCTGATTTCATATCATCTGTTTTAGCTGTTACAGTAGTAAATAAACAGTAGTCAGAACTACGCACTTATTTATTGTTTAACGATTAGTTCACACACAACAATGACCAATGGCAGAACTGTGACGTCTAAATGAACAACCTAAAACAGCTGAGATGGTTCTGGGCATCTTCCATCCTCGATGGACAATTGTCTCACCAAATGGTCAGAAGAGCACGAATTCATATGAAGTAAGGTTATCGGCCTGACGTATGAGGAAACTTATAGCCTGGACCACTATATCGACGCATCTTATAAACAATACCAATGGTAGGACATTTCAAATTTCTAATTATAGTGAACTTATTTATTACCTATTTTAATTTCAGTTACATTTCATTGGATGTAACCGCTTTGTTAGCGCTCTCTGACCAATGTTTTGAGATGTGATGACTTGAAAAGACACCTTGTTTTAAAAACTCTTTGCTAGGTCTTGTTTGATACTTGTTATCTCGCGGTGCGATATAGGGTTGAATGGCTTGACTCTGTATAACAACGGGAGATTACAAATATCAATAAACAGTCCCAGTGGAGACAACACGAATCACTGGGATGCAGATACACCTAGTTGACGAGTCCCAAACAGGACGAAACGTGAGTCCTGCATTCCACTACTAAGCACCAAGTTGAATACAACACTATGCAAAGATCAGTTTTAAAAAACCAAGACTAAGGACAAATGACTGGTGAACGGATGGTCTTCACGATTATATACATGCTAACAGCTCATAAGTTTTTGACTGTCATGGACAGTTGTTCCTTCACACTCTATGCAACAAAAAAATAGCGTACACACATTTCAAACTTTCTCAAACTACAATTAAAAAGATTTTTCATTATGAACGACAACAGAAGACAAGAATTATATCACGCATAACACATAATTTAATACTTCAGAAAAGAGATATGTGTGCGTATATGTGTACATACCAGTACACTCACTCAGAAATACAATGTACATTAGAAGTAAAGAGGAAGAGAGAGAAGAATAGATAAACAAATAAGTATAGTTTGTCCATTTCCAAATCCTATTTTTGCAACATAAACAAAATAATGATAATTAGGCGCATAATATCAATAGTCATGGTAAGTCAAAAAAAATCACTGAGTAAATATCAATGAGTAGTATTCACTATAAGAATAATGTATGCGTATACACACGTACAGAAAATAAAAGAGCCCTGAGCATAACAAAGTGATACAAAAAAAACCGTTATCATTGATACTAATAGAAAGAAATGAAAGTTGATTGCATACAAACACATACATGGATAACACTTAAAATTCCTTATCCTGTCCAGCTTTCAAATAGTACACTGAGAATTAGTATTTAAAAAATAATCATGCATAGCATGATGATTGTGCGTGTGTACATTGAATAGTAGCAAAAATTTATGCAAACTGATCATATAGACGACTGTTCTCTGCTAGTCATATTCATACATGACCAAGAATTAAAAAAACCTATGAGAAGAATCTAAAAGAGGTAGATAAAAACATATGATATGAGATCTTCCACAGTCCTACTTTATATGCATACCACACACACACACACACACACACACAACACGCACATAAACATACACATAAAGAAAAAAGTTAATCAATTAATTAGACAATTAAAAATAATCACTAGTTGAATTAAAACCGGAAGAATAAAGAAACTCCCTGAGACAATTTGATACTGGTGACTTTGTCAGTTTATACCATGAATTCAAATTATGCGTTATTTTAGCGGCAAGCTCACGAAGTGTAGATAAAATCATAATTAAATGAGCACAACGTGTTTGAGATCCATTATTCTCACAATAACGACGTAGTAATTCAGCCCATAAATTCTGTGTACGATTAACAAAGTCGACATCCAACAAGTTAGAACGTTCTAAATTACATGGAGTGATTGAATAAATAAATAAAAACACGATAAAATATGAATAAGTTGACAGTTAAATTCTGAAATACATAACATAAAAAATATTAAAAATCACGTTGGACTTCAAGTAGATGTTACTACCATTCACTGTATCATGTAATTAACACTGGTCAGATAGTCAGTTCCATTATTTTCCAGGCAGTTGTTGTAGGTGTAATTTTAATTCAACTCAACCTAAAATTCTAATATCCAGTGTCAATACAAGTCTGAAAAACCACGGTTATCTCAGACAGTCAAAGTGATAATCGATACGACGCTCCCTCTCTCTAGTTCAAGTAGATATGAATTTGGATGAGAAGTTCTAACTGGGTAATGTGAATACCATCAAGCGATAGTAACGCGTTACGAATTCATACGGTATCCAGGCAAAATACTTGGTGAAATAAAAATCTGGTCAGTGGCCGGGTCCCGTAGCACCGGGTCGGAAACCCAGTGGTCGCTAGTTCGAGTCCTGTCGCGGCTCAAATTTTCATTCCACCTGCAATCATCAGCTAATATCAATGGAAGTTTGCCAGTCCACTGTTATCTCACGTAGCCAAAGTGATAATGTTATATCAGCCGAAAATGTCGTTCTATTAATGACCTGATTGGTAACATTATTGTATAGGTTGCTTCAAGAGCTTCGATACCTCACCCGTCTCTGCATGACCTATATTTCAAAAACAACTGCAGATTGACAAAAACCTTTTTGTTATGCATTATCCCATATTTTGCGCTTGGAATAAGTTGTTTCATTTTTATAAACTACGGTGCGTTGTGGTAAGGTTATTCAGCTGTATATATACAGCGAATCAGGTCGCCTAAAAACAAACAGACAATAAGCACCGGACTTTGTGTTCTGTTTTACACAGTTAGGAGGGAAGAGTTGAGTGACTCATCATGTGAGTGAATTAAGTATATGAGAGTGGGTAAATATATTTGACTATCACGCTCAAGATCAGAGTTAAGATTGAAGAAGTGAATCACGTACTAAGTCAATTACAACCGGACGAAGTTACAGTAAATTGGAGACAGGGTTAACTCAGGAACATAACAGAAAACAGCCTCAGGAACTGATAATATATGTATTAACTTGGTTTGAAAAAGAGCATATTTGAGGCTTAAAGTTGCAAAAAAGCCTTTGTAAACCAATTAGTAGACAAACTAATCCCAATTATTAATAGTGTTGATTATGTAACCGAAAAATTAAGCATTATTTCTAACACTATTATTCATGTTTGTCGATACTATTTTCCTGCTAAAGTGAACTTTAATTCAGTTGTCATGGCTAGTTGAAGTATTGACTCACCTACAACTCGTCGACGATTGTCTTGGTTACTTAACTCGGTATGAATGTCAATAGCACAAGCTATATGCATATAACCGGATTTTCAACACCAATGTTAAGTCAGTGCTTCTGTATGGTTCAGAAACTTGGCGTCACGAAAAGCATTTCCAACAAACTACAGACATTCATCAACAACTGCCACCTACGCCCACTCGATACTGAAGATCAGATGAGATGGCCAGAAAGAATAAGCAACTCTGGCATGACAACGAACCAACCAAGAACTCATCGCCCAACAAGTATTCAGAAGAAAGTGGAGATGGATTGGATTGGGCATACACTGAGAAGGCCGACTGGGGATATCACGCGCCAGGCCCTCGAGTGGAATCCAAAAGGGGAAACGACGAGTTGGGAATCCGAGGCGATGGTGACATGGAGGAGATGGCGTGAGGAAGAAATGAAAGCTTGTGGGCAGTCGTGGCGCAAGGTTAAGAAGACTGCAGAGAAGAGAGTGCAATGGAGGCGTGTTACTGAAGCCCTATGTTCCACTAAGAACCCAAGGGAAAAATAAACAATAATATGCATATAAAGTTGATTATTTCCAGCCTAGAATTACTCCCCATTAAATAAACCTGGCAAAAAAATGAGAGTACCATTCGACTTGACCAGAGAGCAATCCCAGTAAATAATACACCAAACCTTCTTTTGGAATCACATCGAATATATTTCATAAATAAAAGACGAAAGATTTTTTTCCGAAAACTATGCCTACTAACTAATTATTCCACTATATGGATAATACAGAAATAAAGGATCTCAACCTCTGATTAGAAGTACATATTGTATTCACATAATGTTATGTTACAAGTTTCGACGTTGAGACAGTCATATCATCATCGGTATATTTATTAGACGTTGGTCAACTGTGTGATGGTCATATCTTAACAATGCGACACTACGCAAACAAAAGAATCTGTACACCAATCGAACAGCATATTTCTGAGGATACCCTCGGAACCCAAGTGTTTTTACAAGGGTGAACCATTTGCTCACCATCGGGAAAAAAAACACCAGTACAAACTTACCGGGAGTAAACAGTATTACACCAATAAGCGGTCCAAATTCTGTATTTGTCAAATTTAAACGTTGAAGCCTTGCAGCAAACTGAAAAACACTTCGGGCTGTTACACTATCACTAGTCATGTGCAAACAATCCATGGAAGAATCTGTAACCACTGAATTAGGAAACCATGGGCTAAACAGACAATTCAATTGATGATTTTTCAACGTAAATGAAGAATTTGTAGGCATATTACTCCGATTTTCACGACATAACATTAATATCTAAGAAGAAGAGATAAAAAGGTCGGAAAAAAACAAACAAAATTCATCAGAAGACCAGTGGAAATACATTAAAAACTACTCGACACAAATTAGTGGTGATGTTTAACTTGATGAGTTTGCAAGTCATAATAAGTGTCTAAAGATAAGTGATACCTCTTATCTGCTAGGATAAGACCAAATAAAGATTTATTTTTATCAGAGACTCCCATCCACCTGAATCAGTATCCCAGTCAAAAATATACTTAAGTTAATTGGAATTAGCTCCCCCGGTCCGACAGACGTAGAACTTCGCACACAACTGTATTGGTTCAACTTACCACACTTTGCAATACCATGCAAAGAACAACTAGGTGGAAGAAGACTGACATCAAAGTAGACAAGGGCGTATAGGAGGAGAAATAACTTGAAAACTAAGGTTAGTCGAAACATTCAAGCTTTACAAGATATGGAAGAGTGAATATATCTGTGACATTGTTACCGATTTCAATCGTCTCGGAGGCCCCCACCAAGTACTCTGCACCTTCCCATACAGCTCAGATCAACACTGGAGGATTTCACAGACTGGTACCACACCTTGGTCTGGTCACCCCTGAGCCCTCTTCCAACCTAATCCAACTTCGCTTATCACAACATGTTACATCAAGATAAGCAGTGGTTCGACATGTGCAACGTATGTCCAAGCCTCCTCAGTCGATGAAAGTTCACAACCTCATCAATGGACTTGCCTGTCTCGACTTGTACTCTTCGCCTAATCTCGACATTGCTCACTTGGTGGTTCACCACAGACTAGCATTGCTACAGAGATACATGTGATTAAAAACCCTGTGGCCGCTTCCACTTTCAGCAGCCATCTCTCATAGCCGTGTAACAGGACAGAACAAACTGGAAGGCAGTATACTCGTCTTTTAATAGATAGTCGAGTATCTTGCTAGTTGGCAAATGCCAAACAGATCTGTATCCGGGCTGAGATGTCATCAGAGAACAGTCCATTAAGGGTGATACAACTCTTCCAGTAATTGTTGTGGTTGACGCATTCCAACACTTAACATCGATCGAAAGGTTCCATAATCTCTTCAGGACCAAAATGCCATCTAACAATGTCTGATGTAAAAACCAACGATGACTACAAGCTGGATAGACGCAAATTTCAAAGATACACTGATAAGATGCCTATATGTTTGAGAAGCATGGAGAGAATCAAAAGGAAGATATTATTTCGTAGAAATCTCTACTGGTAGAAGGATTTAGAAAATCAACCATTTAACACAATAAATACAAATATAGTTTTAGGATATTCAGTAGAATAATGATATCAAATTAGTAGTCAAGTATTCATATACTAATGGACAGCAATCTTTTCAATAATGCTATCCACAACTATCCCAATTTAAATCACCACCCTGAGACCTACACAGCTCATGAGGGAATGTGAATTTAGCTGTACGCACAACTCACCTTTTCCAAACGGGCCACCAACAAGATAACCACTAGAGAAACCCTTTAATACAAATTTTTTGCACTCGATTGTCATAAATTGAAAGTTTCCCGTTTTTTCAATTTGATGATAGCTGGATACGTATACTGTCAGGGATATTAGATATTGCTATACCTGAGTTGTTACTACTAAATTGTTCAATTCTGCAAAATGTTTCAGTAATCTCTGTTAAAAACATTAGTTTACATCAACAAGCCAAAAGGTGATAATTTTGATAAATAGAGTGAATAAAAGATACGGTCAAGTTATCGATTACACAGAAATAATATGGAAGCCAGAGATATTATATCTTAGCATATTATCTGTATATTCACTAGTTTAACTGGACCTGCCAACCTAGCTACATTAGGTAGACGATTAGATCGATTTTTGGTAAAATTACCCTTCACTCTTCATACGTTGTTGCTTGCATTAAAACTATGCCCATTTCAAAAGAAGTGGCTATCTCAACTCGGTGGTCTAATGGATAATGCTCTGACGTTTGAAGCAACCGGTCTTGAGTTCGAGTCCTAGTAGGAACAACATCACTCGCTGGGAGGCAGGTACATCTTAGCTGACGAGTCCAAAATAGGATGAAACACGCGTCCTAGATTCCACTGCTAGCCACTATCCATCATTAATATGTTATCACTCATAATTGAGCAGAAGATAGATATGTTGAAGAATAGGAAGTTTAATACTTGAAAATAGCTGAACAACTAGTCCTAAGTTGTAGCAAAATACGTCTAAGGTGCACAGCTAGTCCTAAATTACATGCGCCAGCTCATCTTACACCGAAGTGATTAGTGTTAACATTTGATCATTCGAAAAGATCCCTTGTTTTTTCTTATTGATCAATACCAATCAAATTAGTAATATACGTAACAGTTCACAAGCATAAATTTGCTGAAGTAGTACAATAAAAAGAACAGTAATCAATAGTAATAAGACCAAAACATTTCAGTTTATGCTGTTATATAACCTCGCCTGGTTAACTAGTTTACTAGTTACTAGCCGGTCCTAAGACCGGGTAAAGAGGGAAGGTTGGGCATAGGGCTAGCAACCCTACCCCGTAAAACAAATCCAACCAACCGCCAAAGAAACTTCAAAGCACAAACAAAATATAAAAAATGAAAACAAACTTATTATTCCCCGCTGGAATCGGAGAGGCGAAATGACGCCAGTTGGTGAAAGCCTTCGGGAAGCCAATTGGCCGATGTGTCTTCTCTCGATGACAGCGAAAGTAAACGTGGGGACATGGAATGTCCGCACGATGTTTGAACCCAGTAAGGCAGCCCAGATTGCAAAGGAGATGAGAAGGTATAACATCGAAGTGCTTGGGATTTGCGAAAGCAGATGGAATGGGAGTGGACTCTCCAAACTGTCAACTGGAGAATCAATAATCTACTCCGATACTGTCACCCAGACGACAACCACGAGCACACTGAGGGAGTGGCTATCATGATGTCCTCAAGAGCATCGAAGGCTCTCATGCAGTGGGAACCAATCTCCTCCAGGATCATGACAGCAAGATTCAACTCAAAAGGAAGAAAGGTCACAATCATACAATGTTATGCACCTACAAATAATGCAGAGCAAGAGAAAAAGGAGGATTTCTACAGACAACTTCAATCAACACTGGACAAGACGTCAGTTGGCGATATCAAAATTCTGATGGGCGACATGAATGCCAAACTGGGAGGGGACAACACGGGAAGAGAACTAACCATGGGTCGAGAGGCGCTAGGTGAAATGAATGAGAATGGAGAATTGTTTGCAGAATTCTGCGCATTCAACGATTTGGTGATTGGAGGCAGTGTGTTCAGGCACAAGGATATCCACAAAGCGACATGGATTTCACCAGATGGACACACTAAAAATCAAATCGACTTTATCTCAATCTCAAGAAAATGGAGACGCAGTCTACTTAACACAAGGTCAAGAAGAGGAGCAGATGTAGGTTCACACCACTATCTAGTGCAAGGAACCTTCCAAATCAAGTTAAAAGCCTTCAAGAAAGCTGGTGATAGACCTCAACTCAAGTACAACACTCGGAAACTGAAGGATGAAACTACAAAGGAGATCTTCAAGGCAGCCATCAAGACAAAATGGGAGACATCGAGCAACATCCCTGAAGAAACCTGTGTGGAAGAACACTGGAAGTCTTTGAAAGCTATGTGGAAAGAAACCTGCACAACAGTATTAGGAAGGAAGAAGAAAGAAGACAAGACAAGGAATGGATCTCGACGGATACCTGGAAGCTGATAGAGAAGGAGAGGAGGATGGTGAAGCAGAAGATAAACCAGTGCAAGGATGCTCAACGACAAGAGGAACTGAGCACAATGTATAAAACACTGGACAAAGAAGTGAAGAAGAGTGCACGCAAAGACAAAAGACACTTCTACGAAACACTGGCAAGTGAAGCAGAACAGGCTGCAGGTAAGAGAGACCTGACGACATTGTATCAAATAACCAGGTTGCTATCAGGGAAGAGACCAACACAGATGAAACCAATAAAAGATGAAGAAGGAAATTTAATTACAAAAGAAGAGAAACAGAGGAAACGATGGGCCGACCACTTCAAGAAGCTCTTGAATCGACCACCACCTGCACTTCGTCCAGAAATACCACCTGCAGCCGCTGAACTACAAGTGAACATTAATCCCCCAACGAAAATGGAAGTCCTGAACGCCATAAAGCTACTGAAATGTGGGAAAGCAGCAGGACCAGATGGAATCCCACCAGAAGCACTGAGAACAGATGCAGAGACAACAGCGGACATGCTCACACCACTATTGCAGAAGGTGTGGAAGGAAGAGAAGGTACCTGACGATTGGAAGAAGGGTTACCTTGTCAAACTGCCGAAGAAGGGAGACCTCAGTGCTTGCAAGAACTGGCGCGGAATCACTCTCCTGTCCACCCAAAGCAAAATATTAAGCCGCATCATCCTGGAGAGACTAAAGGATGCACTGGATTCAAAACTACGACCGGAACAGGCAGGCTTCAGGAAGTACAAATCATGTGCGGACCAAATTGCAACGCCACACTACGCATCATCATAGAACAGAGCATAGAATGGCAATCAGCTCTCTACCGCAACTTCATCGACTTTGAGAAGGCCTTTGACAGCGTCGACCGAGAGGTAATTTGGAAACTGCTTCAATACTACGGAGTACCGCAAACCTTTATCCGCCTCATTCAACAACTATATGAAGATGCCACATGCCAAGTAATCCACAATGGGAAGCTCAGTGATGCCTTTGAAGTGAAGACAGGAGTGAAACAAGGTTGCCTACTATCCCCCATGATATTCCTCATTGTGGTGGACTGGATCATGCAGCAAACAGTAGGCAGCGAGAAGAGGGGGATACACTGGACGACGGAAAAGAACCTAGAAGACTTGGATTTCGCCGATGACTTATGCCTAATGTCACACAAACTTGAAGATCTGCAGGCAAAAACTAACAAGTTGATAGAAGAGGCAGCTAAGACGGGACTTCAGGTGAATATAGAGAAGACAGAAGTGATGAAGATACCGCACCACCACCATCAACAACAACAACAAACTCCAATCACCGTCAACGGGAGAAACTTAAAGGAGGTAACCTCCTTAACTTATCTAGGAAGCACTGTCTCAACTACAGGCGGGACGGACGAGGACGTCAAAGTCAGAATCGGAAAAGCAAGACAGGCGTTCATTAGCCTGAAACCAGTGTGGAGATCTTCTGCACTCAGCATGCGGAACAAGATACGGATTTTCAACACCAACGTCAAGTCAGTGCTCTTGTATGGTTCAGAGACTTGGCGCGTCACGAAAGGGATTTCCAATAAACTACAGACATTCATCAACAACTGCTTACGCTCGCTGCTGAAGATCAGATGGCCAGAAAAAATAAGCAACAAGGTACTCTGGGAACGAACCAACCAAGAACCTATCACGCAACAAATATGCAGGAAGAAGTGGAGATGGATTGGACATGCACTGAGAAGGCCGACTGAGGACATCACGCGTCAGGCCAGTTGCTCGAGTGGAATCCCCATGGGAAGCGACGAGTTGGACGTCCGAGGGTGACATGGAGGAGATCGTGCGAGCAGGAAATGAGAGCTTCTGGGCTGTCGTGGGACCAGGTTCAAAAGATCTCAGAGAACAGAGGTCACTGGAGGCGTGCTACTGAAGCCCTATGTTCCACTAGGAACCCAAGGGACTAATAAATATAAATAAATTATGCTGTTATATGCATCACACAGTAAAACAGTATTATCTACTGGATACCCAAAGGGAAGAGCATAAATGTGACTTACAGCAAGTTCGGGTAAACAATCTCTTAGTAGAATAGCTTGATCATGTTGTGAAAGTCGTGTGAACTGTTCCAAATGACAAGCGAATTCATGAGTGAATTTAAGTTGAGCAGGGCAGAATATTTCATCTACGGTGAGAAGTTTCATCGACTCACCTAATTCACTTGAATTGGGCTAAATAAAGAGGATTAAGAAGATAGTAATAAAGGCAGTTACAAGAGGAAGTAGAAATTGACCATCAAAAATCATTATTAGAAAATTACGTGCGGGAATGTAGAAGCTTATTGAGCTAGGTTATATAAATAGGTAGCGATCATCAAAAGTCTGCATAACAAATCAATATACGCGGAAGTTTGAAAGAGAGAATGCCCTCCTAGAATGGCCTGGAAACAACGAAGGCCATTGTTAATACATAGAAACTATTGTATATCGTGCTTCTTTTGACGTTGCAATACACTTGTCTTATCATCTTTTCTGTTTTCCAAGGGTGCAGTCTTTTCACGTGTCCACATATATACACGAAGCCATACGACTAATAGCCAATTTATCTCAATGACAGACTAGTTAGTTCCGAATGATGACCGATAACTTCGGCTAGCCATTAAATAATAAATGATTACTTATTTAGGCATGTTCACTTCAAAATGTGATGGTTTCGGCTAAAAGATTATGATCACATTGAACTGACTGAAATAACTATGTATATTCAAACAAAACTGATTAGATTATGAAGTAGGAGAAAAGTATCCAGCATTGAGACTGAACACAATGATGTCAAAACACCTCATTATCCCGTCTGTTCAAACTAGGGTTACTTGCAATAAGATGACGACTGAGGTCAGATCGTGGAATGGAAGCTGAACGGGTTTACTCATATGGTTAAAAGACAAAAACTCAGTAAAACAACCATAAAAATGATCACATCTTTCGTGATTACTTCAGAAGAGAACTGACAACAGTTTCTTTGCAACTAAGACGGACACGATTGTAAAGTAGGTGGTTCAACGTTGACAATAGTATGCCCTACCAGATTTTGTCAAAAGGATTAAAAAGTTCGAAATCTTGGTAATAAATTTGTTCGTTCGAAACCAATTCTAGAAATGGTGCACATGAACGAAATTAACCCAGTACAAACGAAATCTTGGAACCTGGTAAATTTGTTTGAATGGTCTCAATGGACTGGTGATATTATGATCTGGGTGAACTACTCGTTAATTACAGAAGAAAACAATTAAACTTTGGAAACTACCTATTAAAGTCAATCAATATGACGTATCTACAACGGAAAGGCTTAAAGCTAAAAAAGTATGTTGAGAAATGATGTAATTAGATAACACTCGTAGAAATCTGCAAAAAAGAACTGAAATTCAACCCACATTTACTATGTGGGAGGTTTATGATTACTAATCCAGTTGATAGAAGATAAGCTGGGGTTCGAACCCATGATCTATTACTTGAAGATTGATGTTTAGACCGATGAGAGCAACGCCTTTATATAAACACCAGTAAAATTCAAACACTTCTCAAAATATAAGTAGTATGACTATACACGTACCTTTATCGGAGATAAATGTCTTGATAAGGATCCTGATAAACTGTAATAGTCAGACTTTAAAATATTCCAATTATTCTTCTGGTACTTTAATGCTTGATCTTTGCAATATTTCAAAAAGTGATCAAATTTATTTAATGTCTGTTGATCCTCTTTACTCAAACTATTGTCACAGATCACCGGCGGGGGTATATCACTAGAGGACGAAGATTGAAGGTTGGTTGGTATCACTTGCACTTCATAGGGGTTAAGCGTTATTTTATCTAAATGCATATGGGATGGGGTTAAAAATACATCTGAACCCGATGATGAATAAGAATAAGTTTCAGATCTTCCTGAGCAATCTGAACTAGATAGAGTAACTGGAAGTGAAGGTAACAGGCGCTTTTTCCCATGACGTCTTTTACGAACAGCTGCAAGAGAGAATAATCTGCATGTACCACTAACCAAAAACAATGTAATGAACAATATTAAAACGTAGTAAGACAAACTAAAGTAGGACCTTGCAGAAAAGTGCATCCATTCAAGTTACCACACTTTACAACAGCATACAAAAAACAAGTGGAGAGAAAAAGAATGAGATTACACTAAACAAATGTACGAGAGCTGACAGAATAAACAAATGTAGGTTGGTGAAGGTACACAGAATTTCAAAAATGACATGTCAGTAGTGTTCACCCACTGGGAAAGATGTTTACCACAAAACTTGACATCGCTGGATTCGAATAAAGACGAGATCGTGGGGATGCATTACTATAAAATGCCAAACTGTAACTCAGTGCTATCGGAGACCCAATGCCTCTATAACTGATATCAATCGGTGACCAATACTTTGATATCGGAAGTACGTTGAATAACAATAAATAGTTTATTTGCACAGTAGTGAGCAAGATGATGACAGGATACTGATAGGAAACTTGGGTGCTAATTTCTGAACAGATCGCATGTCTTCAAAAATATCAACAATCAAAACAAACCGCGAATACTAATTTAAAGAGATGAACGAATAAACTACTGCAGAATGAAAACCACATCCAAATTTGCATTACCATTTATTCGAATTATAAAGAGACTTCATGTTTGATTAGTTTTCAAAACTATATCACACCACTAATCTAATAAAAAGATAACCAATTTATATCAAACCACGATAAACTATGTATGTTTAATGCATATTCTGACTATGATTTTTTTTTAGGTGGAAAGTGTTATGCAACTCGACTTCACTTAAGTGTTTTGTATACGTGAGTCATTCATCCTTTTGATAATAAAGGTTAAAGAGATAAGGAAATCGATTTCAAAAGAAAAGCAGATGAGTGGATTGAACGAATATATAAAAATGACAGATTAGTTAGTAGATACAGAAAATTCAAAAATATTCATAAGTGTATGTACGTGTCCCACTGCACTTAACAAGGTGATGAAATAAAAACATTCCTAAAGAGCCAAATAATAAGAGAAAATAAAGACAGAAGAGAAAACCTTAAAAAAATCCAGCTGAGTATGTAAATGTTAGAAAAAGAAAGTAACAAGACTGTTCACATCATTCTCCAGCAAGAATTGATGCATTAAATTACGCATAAACCGTTTGAATATACTCAATGACATCACCGCATCATTACGCTAGAGAGGATAAGCATTCTGTGGAAATGGATAGTGATGACAGATTGTCAATGCGGGAAACGAAGGTTTCGTATTCGACGCGACATGTGTATTCACTGAGACATCATATACTAATTGATCGTGTACAAGTAGACAGGTGGTTAGGCATAGACCAACTGTCATAATGAGAACGAAACAAAGCCCTAAGCCAAAGAGGAAGGGTGGTCCATGAACCATACGGACAACATGAATTGAAAATGTATCATTTGTTCGCTTTGAGATGAATTGTTTCTTCTCATGAAATTGAAACAACTACTCTAAACACAGTTATTAGACATACATGACCTAACAAAGTCATAAAATAAAACATATTTGCTTATTTTTCGTCTTATCAGTGATGTAACAGAAATATCTTATGAGTTTAAATTTTTATATCACTAAAGGAAGGAAACAAATGGTTTTACAAGACGTTTGTTGATTCGAGCGGAAAAGATACACAAGGTTTTATTTCAGAAACTAGAAATTAAAGTACATTGAATTGCATAATTCAACAGAGTAGTAGTAGTAGTAGTACACAAATTATTGAAACAATTAATATGAACGTACCATCTTTCGACATTCCGACAGCAATACACTTGAGGAGTCGACACTGTTGACACTTATTACGTAATGTCTTATTGATCTCACAGGTACCATTTCGAGCACAAGTATATAATTGTTCCCGTTGTATAGCACGTCGGAAAAAGCCCTGAAAATATTTTAGAGTAAATTTGTGAAACAGACTATAAGCAAATATCACAAATAGGTCGGATAGAAAAAAAATCAGAAAACTCAAACATTGAGCAGTCTTCAATAAGTATTGCAAACATCCGACTGTGAAGTTATACAGCGACAGAGGGGAGTTCTGAAGCCTGGAAACAATATCACAAAGCATAAATTGACTGTCGTATTAACAATTTACATAACGTCATTGGTTTGACTTTGTACAGCAATCTCCTTATATTATACGTCGGAATCAAAACTAATCGATCAACATTTCTCGGCTGACATCAGGTCTGGTCATGAAACTGGATCGGCCACCATGATGTATCGTTACCTATTGCCCGATATACTTATATGAAGAAGAAAAATGTCAGGAGAAGTGGAGGCTTGCTGTGCTGACATTCGTTATTGAGGAAGAAATAAACATACACAAAAAGCAGAAGTAAGATTCTGGTGATATTGAGAAGTACCAAGAACCGAAAACACTTTTCAAATATGCTATATGGTAAACCTCGAACGATTACAAATAGAGTTCAGCATCACTCTCCAATTATCTCTAATTGTTTCCGTCAACTCGATCTATATGACTAGCCATCATAACCAATGAAAATGTGACCTTTTCAGTGATTGGCGGTTTTTAGGTCTAGGATGTGTCTGCCCTCGAATACTACACAAGCAACAACTTAAATCAACTGTGTGAATCTGCTTACTAGATTATGAACCTGAGTTACTTGTTTAAGGGCTCAGACCAATATGGGTCGAATCGAAACGAAATCAAAATGCAACCATGTGGACGTTGGTGTAGTGATCAATGAGTCATACCTGTTGTGTGAGGACTAATGATATCTGACTGCATAAAACTCGGTAGGAATGCGATTCGAACCTGAACGACTAGGTGGAAGTTGACTACCTGTACCGATAAGCTATATCTTCAAAGTTGAACAGGGTTTGAACCGAAGACACATCAATTAGAAGCCAACCGTATGGGCAAATCAGCCACATCTCGCGACAGTAGCGCTTAGATATCAAATCCTTCCCTGTGACGGCTTCTGATAGGAAAGCTACCTCCATGTAGTAAACGCGTTTACCTATCACTATGAGCTATTTCAGATACAGTGGCTAGAACATTCTTTCCACGAGGCGCAACTATGCCAGGAAGGTTAGTTAGGGAATGATGAGACAAAAACAGCTAATTTCACAAACAAAAAGCTAGAAATAACTTGATAGTGAGATTATACACCACTGACTGTAAGACTATAAGGTATTTCCCTTTATTCAAAGGATGGATTAGAAAAGATATATCTCTTTTTTTGTACCAATGGCTTCTATTACCAGCAGACCCAACGCAATTATATACATACGCATATATATAAATCAAAAACATCAGCAAAGACTACGTATGATCGGTATCAGGCAGATTCCCCTCTGGTTCTTAATGTCACACTCCTAGGTTGACATGACCACTTATGTTAAACCAATTTTTAAAAGCTACCTTCCACGACGTGAGCTATTAGAAGGTGTCAACATAGCAAGTGTAATCTCCAAACTCTAAACTGCATATCTGAGCATTCAACCTCTGTACTTTACCTCATATCTAAGGACAAGCCTCACTTGTCATTACTTTCATGAATCCAGACCATAGGCGGTTGTTGTTTGCGTGACATAAATACAAGATCCGAGTATGTCTACTTCTACATTGGGTGCTCAGGATGCGAAAAGGAGTTCTCGAAGTATAGCATCAAGCTCTAAGACAAAAAGCACAGTTCTTATCTGGGTTCTAGCTGATAGCTGCCAGTGAACTGTTTAGTGGAGTGGTACAGTAAGAGCAAAGAAGGAATGTAATACACAACGTTTTGGTTTAGTAATGTGTGCTTATGCACACACCTTGGATAAAGTGAAAAGCGAGTTTTGCCAAAAACCGTTTACTCCCATTACAAAAAGCTAAGTGTTAAGGTGTAGTAATCAAAGTTGAGCGACTTAAATACGAATGTAAAGAAGCAAAATGAGACAATACGATACATAAATGATATTTTGTAGAATCTGAATTTAATGAACTGAGAACGGTGGTCATTTGTTACAACTGTGTTTATACTTTGTGAAACGAAGATATTGCATCAGCAACTTGTCTGCATACTGCACACTTCAATAAAGAGTAACTTTCTCTTCATAAAAAAATAACCTTTTTAATCAGGATATATATCATGTTATAGATATATGAAGCATGGATGTTCCAGAATACCAGTACCCTTGAACACAATACCGAACGTTATGAGAAAAGAAAACAATGAAAAAAATCTTTTAAAAAAACCAACTATGTGGGAATGAGAATACCTTGCAGCCTTCGCATGTTGAGACACCATAGTGAAATCCTGAAGATTTGTCGCCACAAACTGCGCATACTCGAGCTATAGCTTCCGAAGACATAGGCATTTTGCATGTTTGATCGACCTCTGTATCTAAAGATGTTTCCACAATACAACTACTACTCTGATCAAGTTCAAGATTATCTAGTGTAACGGTTTCATCAGAACATGGTGAATAAATCTCAAAAAAGCTTGAAGGCGGAGAGTTTGTTTTAATTGGTGAACAATAAGATAGATCCGTAGTCGATGAACCTCCGGAACTTGGCGTGCAAATTTTACTATCTCTCTCCGAAACGTAAAGTGTAGAGTGGACGGAATGAGTGCCGTGATAACTTGGAGTTGTTGAGATTTGAGACTTGACTACAGTGCCCGGTGCAGAAAATCCTGATTTAACACTACCTACCGAACTGGACAGAATGTCTTTTGAAATGGTGCAGGCGGATGTTGATCCAGTATTACGATAGCTGGATTTGAAAGCATCATGCGTATAAGAAAGATTCTTTGAGGATGACTCCGGAATGAAACATAAGCCATGGTATGGTGAAGGCGAAGAAACAGGAAGCAGAGGAGGCTGATTGTAAGGAGTGCTTTTGACAGAATTGCTGTAGCTTAACATAATCGGAGGTAAGACATGTTCAGATTGACTAATGGAACGAGAAATGGTTGAGTGTTCTGATGAATATTTATTACGTACTGCCTTTGGTGAGGAACAATCTTCAGCAGATAGTAGCTTTCCACTGCTTGAGACAGTTAAATAGGTAGAATCTCCGACAGTTGAGCTCTCATGAGCAATATTAAATTCATCTACAAGACTGGATAGATCTGTGTTTCAAAGAGGAAAAAGAACTAAGGTTAAAATATTACTATATAAACAATTATTACAACTGAAAATTAACCCAATACTAACCAAGAGAGGAAACTGTTAGATTAATCGTATAGTGATGGATGAGGTAAGGAATCAAGTGACATTCAAACCCTAGATTACATACTTCATGCACTGACATTTTTTGATTTCAATATCTTGAGACCTCTTGTGTTATATTCTTGTTAATGGAAGTAGACGTAGCGTTGAGGCTTTGTTAATTTAGTACTCTACGTAAAACAGCGCATGTATTAACTGAAAAATTCCCCAGCGGGTCTCATTGAACAGAAAAAACGTGCAGTTAAAAAACAGGTGAAATGGCCAAGGAGATGTATTCATTCTTTACCTTGTGCACTGAGTTATTCACCAGTTGACCAACTTTCCTTAGCATATTCCGTATTTCATTGTCATGCGAACGTTTAAAAAAGGAAATGCTTCATCATATTGAATAATTCAAACTCCTATTCGTGACTAACTACGTAAAACTTTATTTATACATTTCAAACATAAAAAACTAGACAACTTTTGGAAATGAATTCATACTGTCATTGAAAAGAATGACATTAAAATGATTGTAACACAAAAAGATATATATATATATATATATATATATATATATATATATATATATATATATATATATATATATAGGATCGAGATTAAAGCCCTATTGATTTCACAGGACTAATAAATATCGAGTACAATGCTCCACAGAGCATCAGTTGGTTTACAAGCTACATAGCATAACCTTAACAGTGAATTTTGACTAGCGAGTGAAAAAAATTGGTGTTACTTACTATCCAGTAACCAATTTATTTGCCAAAATAGCACGAACATTTATCAACTGTGTACAATTCACTTTGTGTAATATATTACAACATATAAAATTCAATCAAGTTAGTGTTGGAAAATAAATTAATCCATGATTAGATTCGAATCTCTTAGAGCTCGAGGTCCTATACGACCACAGCTGTATCTTGTTGATCACTGTTAAAGAAACAACTCAAATCTAAGACTTTACCGATAGACTTTAAACATCCAGCAACGAGACCATGATTCTCAAAAACAGTAATTATAAGCTCTGGAAACCAAAGTAGGATTGCATTTATGCTTGCTAACCGCGCTTCTGAGTGTCATACAATAGGGATATCTCAAACACAATGGAAATTATTTCCCCATAAAACGTGTATTTGACTGTAACAGAAATTATAATTAGATTAATGCAGTTCTGCAACAAATTAGAGGTTTACGTACAAGGCTACACCTAGAGTGCAACGGTTTGTGGTACTAAATCCATCACACAGGTGGGAACAGGTAGATAATGTTTGGACATGTGACCGAGCGGTAGGTAGTCGAATAATGGAACTGTGGTACTACACACAAACAGATGGTAAGCAGAAGGAAATAAACTTGTTCCTCAGAATAACTGACACAATAATTTGCGAGTGATAAAAAGAATGCCGATGAACTACTAATAGGTGTCATGTTTATAGAGGTATTACTGAAAGTTCCATGAAGTGAAGCTGTTTAACCTATTTAAAACTATTGGCAGCATCAGTCACAGACTATAAGTGTATGCACAACTGTTTAGATATAATGTGAATCAAAAATAAGTGCTAATACATGAGATGTCGCACACTGATCTACACAGTTAGCTCTCCACTGGTATGAATTCGAACTTCACCCTACCTAACGAGGTTTGGGCATCCAGGAGGCATCACTAGTCCTGACAGAACAGACGCGACTTATAACCAACTATAAAGACATGTACGCAGTGGCCTGGTGTAAAGATGGTCTATCAAAAAGCATTTTCCATCACGACAGATAAAATTTTACAACATGCAGTTAAGAAAAGCAGAAGTGTGAAATAATGCATAATGCAGCATGTAATCGATTTTAGTTGACACTATGTTACGTAACTAGGTCTTTTAGAAATAAACGCTGGTATTAAGTAAACTTTAGAGATACCGTAATCTATATTCATATCAAAGCTTATTACGATGCGCCAAAATTAACAACATAAACAGATTGATTCAAAAATTTGTAAATCACACAGACGCACACAGAAAAGACTTACTTGATTGGATTTGGTGGTTTGTTTCTTGAGTATCCACTACAGAATAATAATGTAATAATTTCTTATTGTTTGAACAGACAGTAGGCATACTATGATCGGCAGATAACTGTATATTTATGTTAGGCAACCGTTGGTTGCAGAAATTTGACGTATTATCTGAACAGTGCTCAATATCATCAGTACTGAAAATATGATGCTCAGGATTTTGATCACCAACAATAGCAACAAACACTCGATCTAAATCTAATCCACCATCTTCCACATCTGTATGATCCATAGACAATGAATGAGTAAAACGATTCATTACAGTTTCACTAGGCTGGACAGGTAGATTAGAACCCAATGATTTAATAGGTTGTGAAGGAGAAGCAAAACATGACTGGGTATGTGTAGTAGAAGTAGTAAAAGTACTAAATTCGAAGTCTTGAATGCAGTCTTCTGATTTAAGTGAGTAGGAAAGACTGTTTTCAAAACAGTCAACTTCTTTAACATGAGGATTCATAGGAACTGGGTTAGATCCTGCATCGTGATATTTAACAGGGGAGTAATTTGTTAAGTGATTAGATTTGTCTAAAAATGAGCCAACTCCTGGTAGAGTAGCGCGTGATGATAATAATGAGTGATATGTTGGGCTGGATGATAGACAGTTTGCAAATGAAACACAAACCTCAGCATCAGAGGTGGTACAAGATATAGGATTTTGACGATTAAGATTTGAATTTTCTACGGGACACTGGCTCATCTGGCAGGTCTAGGCAGTTCAGGAAACAGACATTGTATATGTTTCACAATAAACTAAATTATGGAATTATATATCGATCTTGCAGTCCTGGTAAAAGCGAAAATACAAAACACGATGTGATCCACAGAAAATAATGGCACCTGAATAAGCTTAAGATAACCACGTTAAAGACAACGGATACATCTTGAACCAATTTACTACTTTTTACCACTCCTTAGCCTTAGCATACATCTGAATACCAGGTTAAGGCCCACATCTGGTTTGTAACAGTTTGACTATTTACCTAAAGCATAAGATTAGTACAGCATTGATACCAAAAAATATGCCACAAAAAATAATGAACTTATGAAGTAATGCAGTAAGTAGGTACCTCAAAAAGGTTTAGTGAATGACCAAAGGGCCCAAAGGACATTTGCTTTAGGCCAGCCATAATCTGCGTTATTCGAATTTTTGAATATACGCATGTTAGTTTCGGCCCCGACTTCAAAAGCGTGTCACCGGCACCGATATACGAGATGATCTTAGGACCGACCTTTTCTACCCCCCCCCCTTCCCAAAGGGAAGGTAGCATCAATATGATACTGCTGATAATCTCAGAGAAACACCTTACTGCTGTCAAACTTCTATCCAATCAGCAGCACAAATTTTCCCTCCGACCTCCATCATGCTGTAGCAATTTACACTATAACAGTAACTGCTTTTTGTCCAACCAATGCCCAACAAACTTTACTGGTATCGTAGGACCTAGAGGAAAAACATGTTCCATTATTGTAGCTGGTTGAGTTATTGTGATATGTAAATCCGACTACCACGTCAAGTTGGCAGCTATCCACTCCCAACTGGTTTTCGGTAAGAGTAAAGATGAGAAAATTTAGACAGGTTTCAGACTCAGTCAAAGATCTATTGACTTGATCTTCAAACATTCAAATAACAGCACGCAACACTAGCTATATTTTGTGGTCTGAATGCAGCATTCGACTGTCGGCTGAAAAGTCTTATAAATGTTTCCCGCTGAAACAAGTACTCAGTAAGTGGATTATTCTCCTGAATTTCCCACTCGTGCACCTATGGTCGTTCTGAACCCTATATTGATTATGAGATGTGTTATGGTGAGTGATGTCATTAAAGATACCTCCTGTCTCCAATTTTGTCTTTGCTGTGGACGTGTGTATGAAGGTCCCTCTATTTTCGTCTAGCCTCACAGGGACTGATTCCGTCACAAGAGGCTCCTCTGCCAGATTGGGAACATTATAGATGCGTTCCTCATTCAGGTGCATATTTTTGTGTTAAGAGTAGTCTATATTGGCACATTGTCTGGTAACGACAGGAAACGAAGTGGTTTTGCAAGGTGACCTTTTTAGTTGTTAGAAGAGTTGGACCAGATATAATGGGTAAGTAACTAAAAAAAAACCTCAGCACTGTTACAAAAGGTTTGACTGCCCTTTGTAAATCTGAACTTCTGGCTTCTTCGTCGAGATATTCGACTATCTACTAATGTCTGAGTGTACTGCACAACGGTGAACTTCATCCCACTATGTCGGAGTGAAACACGGTCATTAACATAAGAGTAGAACTTGTATAGACAGATAGACACGAAATCAACGTAGAACCCCGCATATAACTGCATCGGTTCAACTCATCATACTTCACAGTAGCGCGCAAATAAAAAGTGGGTAGGAAAGAATGATATCAAAGTAGACATAGGTGCATGTGAGGTAGAGGAATTTAAAAACTAAGGTTAGTCAGAATATTCAAGCTTAACAGGATGTCACAGTGAATGCATCTGAGCCACTGTCACCGATTTTCATCCATTTCTTCTAGACATCCCAACCACTGATTTCTATCATCTCGGGGACCTCAGTCAAGTAGTCTACACCTCCATATACGACTCACACAAACAGTCAGAGACTTTATAAACTGTTGACATCTTGGTCTTGACACCCTGAACCCGCTTCCGATCTAACCCAACTCCCCCTATCATGGTACGTCGAGGTAGGCGGTGGTTCGGCATGCACATCTACAGGCCACCTCAGTCAATGAAGGTCCACAAGCTTATCGAATAACTTGTCTTCCTTGCCTAATAACATTCGCCTAACCTCTATATTGCTCACATGATTCCACCATGTGCACAGGAGTAATGCTATGAAGACACTTGTAGTCAAAAGCCTGTAACCGCTTCATGTATTCTACTTTCAACGGCCATGTCTTACAGCCATATAACAGGACAGAACAAACCACGGCCCAGTATACTCGTCCTTTAATCGGTAGTCGGGTATTTCGCCAGTCGGCGCCAGAGATGACGTGAGTTGGCAAATACCAAACAGGTCTGCTGTATCTGAGTTGAGATTTCGTCAGCAACCAGCCCGTTTGAGCTGATACCACTACCCGAGTAAGTGAAGTGGTCGATACAAACACTTCACTACCTATCTTTAAACTGAGAGTAGTTGCAGACCAGTTCTGAAGTGTCACCTTACATTTGACACGTGCAAGCGAGACGAATGCCGAAATTACCTAGACTTATGGTGAGCGCGTTCACAAAACCCTGCACTTTGTCAGTGTCTTCACCTAAAAGGACAATATCGTCTGCATACTCAAACCAACCAGATAACCTTCATGGAGTAGATCAATCTATCTGAAGTCAAACGTACCTAGTGTTATGTCCATTAATACATCTATAACGAAGTTAAATAGGAACGATGACAGTGGGCAGCCCAGGCGGAAACCAGTTGTAAAACTGGCATATATACATTTATCCCATCAAGCTTCTAGCTGGATACTGGGCAACTGGATCGTTTCTGAGGGCCAGCTCAACCGGGCTTTAAAGTATTCTACCCAGCATTCTTGCCCCCTGTCCTAGGAGATTATCAGGGTCCCATACCTCCCCGTCATGGTTTTACTAACCATCATTCTCTCCTTCCTAGTATCCTCAATAAACCTAAATAGTTGCAGCATGTTACCTAACACTGGTGCCTTCCCATGTCTCTCACTTTCTCCACCTACCACCCCACACAATTGCTCCAAAGCCTCGGTCAATTTACATCTGATTTGCTTTCGCTTTTCATCGTGCTCAGAGACAGCTCGAATCGGTCTTCTCGTATCAACCAGTTTGGATGACTTAATGGAGATCAAATGACGCTTGCCAACCTTAGGCTGTAGGTTACCAATTGTCTTTACCGTAAAAGCTTAGCTAACTCATTCCTAAATACGCATTTGGTGTCCTTGTCTTCCAATCGACCATAAACAAGCTCTACTATTGCCTGTTTCCTGCAACCAGTAAGGTGCAGACATACACGAACCTGGACTAAAGCGTGATCGCAGTCCAAACTGGTACTCTAGGAAGGCCATCAATCCTCCACCGAACCTCTCCAACAACGGCTTGTAGCAATATGATCTATGTTCATCGTTAGTTTGAAGTCGGTGGATGCCATGTGAGACATTCTCTCCTCATGCTTAAAGTTAGTGCTGGACAGAAACAAGCAGTTGTTGGAACAAAATTGCAACATACGATCACCATTATCAGGTTGTTGGCATAGGATTCCGTAAATACTTCCCAGATGTCTCTCCAATTGGCTCAACTTCTCTACTTTAGCATTAAATTCACCTGCCATTGTGACTCTACCTGAACGTTTTGCTTTCTGGAACTAAATTGACAGCTTCTCATTGAATTCATCCTCTACATCATCCAAACTCCACTCGGTGGCTGCGTAGGTGGAGATTACAAATAGGCATTATCCAGTCTCACGATCCTTCCTAGTTTTCACTGATCCATTCAGTTGAATAACACATAGGCGGCTGTTCACTGGTATCCGGTCGAGAAGCACACTTTTTGTTCTTTAACTCAATGCTATGCCTACACCAGCGAGTTTACGATAGATAGCCACTGGATACTCGTGAGGTGTTTTGAAGATGTGCGACAATAGCCGGTTGAGGTCAGTTTAATAACCACACTCGGGTTTTGTACACTTGTGTCAAAGACAGCATATATCCATGGCTCCAGATTCCAGAGTTCTAGCGAGCGACGTCTGCTGGTCGACCTGGTATAGAATTAGAACAATGAAACCCCTAAATTGAAATCGGTGTCAGTTTTATGAGACTAGGAATGAGGCTTCGTAAATTTGCTCCTACGCAATGGTCGCTTAGTGATGAGAGGTCGGTGAAGTTATAAGGTGCTTAATATTATCAGGAGGGGAAGGAGAGGGGGAGACAGTTAAGGAGGATAGGTTATTTTTGATTGGGCATCGTATACTACTGGTAGCATGTGTTCATACTTCACCACTGCTCACGTGGTGGAAGGTTATTTCTTCCCAAGGCAGCTGAAAGAGAAAAAGATTTGTATGACCGTAGAATCATGGGATATCTGCTTAAGGCCTGTCACACAACCTTTTCCAGGATTTTTGGTATGAGATGGAGAAAATACATACCGCCGGTACCGGAAGACCGGGAGGAGTGTGCTGTTCATATGGTCGAACTTTTCTAACCTCCCCTTTCGATAGGGAAGGCAGAATTAACGTAGCATTGCTGGACATCCAAGGGAAACACACCAGTCTGCCAGCTGTGCGACTTCGCCCTCGGTGTACATTACACTGTAGCAATTTACACCACAGCGGCAACTGTTGTTTGTCTTATTACGATCCAAAAGACGTTTTCTGGCATGGTAGGACCTTGGGGGAACAAGCGTTTTAGCCAGTGTAGCTCACTGGGTTATTTTGATATCCAACCCCAACCATCACGTCAAGCCAGTCGCTATCGGTCGTGAAAGTGAATAAAGGAGGAAACACAAACAAAAGTGATCAGAACTACAAAGTCATCAATCTGTCAGCTGAAATAAGCCATGAGAGCGTTATGATGGTTTTCCTACAAGACAGCTACCTCCGGAGATACTGCTTGCTTATTGAGAACAGGTTAACCGTTAGAATTAAGTGCCACCTTAGCCGATGCTTCATTTTATCCGTCTTAACGTTAGGCACCCAGGTTAGGCAGGTAGGCGATAAAAATGTTTGGCTTCGCAGACGATAATTACTGATCACTAGCACCACTTCAGAAGCACACAAGCATCCTCAAGTCACCACTGGTTTAGTTATTAGTTAACACATTTCCGAGTGTGGGTCAGTGGTGCAAACAATCGACTTTCAATTAAGTTACTCAAGGTTCACAGCCATCTGCCTCTAGAGCAAGCCGGGAAACATCGTTAGCCCTCATGTAAGGCAGTTACACATTAAAACTGAGTACACTTTCTACTTGTCAGTTATTATAAATGGTTAGCATAAAACTGACGCTCTTCTTAAAATATTTACTTGGACTATAACTATGGATTGGTCCGAATATACGTGTACACACCTCAATATGTGCATCAAATATTCAGTTGCATTACCTCTTTACAATATATTCGAAGATGGTAACTTTAAATCCCCGTTTTACAGAGGTAGCAAAGCATTTATTAAAGTATGATGATTCTCATCCGGATAAAGTTTGGAGTTACTTTCAGTCTAGGTTAGGAAGTGGCTAAATTAGCAAAGGATCTACAACTAAATGTTTGCCAGTGGATTTTTTAGCCATATTCAGAGCAATTCATGAATAAAAACTCACTGCCGTCGGCTAAAATTACGATGAATGAGAGTCAAAAATAAGCAAAAGACCTTCCATATAGTCGTTAACACTGGTGGGCAACGAAAACGGTTAAGAAGTAACCTACATGAGGCAACATTAAGTACTGACGAGAAATTATAACAGCTTGGTAGGAAAGATAAAGTATAGTGGAACTTTCGCTGAGAAAAAATATGTGGCAAGCTGTAGGAACAGTGACTTCAAACTGTCCAAAACACGTTGGTGGACAATCCAACTGACTTACAGGCACGCTTAGTGGCCCAGCTCCCAATACTTATCACACTTCTTGACGTAGATATTGGAAATGATTCTGTAAAGTTTCGAGATAGTATCTGACTTTACAAGGAGTATTAAACAACCACATTGCGTTAAACACTTCCGATTCGAGTTCATGTAGTAACCTATATGCTTATATATTTGCTGCATGACATAATAAATATTAGTATCCATCTAAGTTACCTATTATCACTCATGTTTGACTTTGTTGTAGATGAACTAACAGAGATTACCTTAAACGATTTGGGGAATAATTTGCTGTCTGGAAAGCATCTATCTCCTGAAGTTAAAAGACGACACAATGCCATCAGCTGAGGTTTAGGGTGCATAAACGCTGTGGATAGAAATCCGGGAAATTAAAGCGTTTGAACAAATGAAAGATCATATTCACGAACCAGGCTGAAAGACATAGGGAGTGAAGTCACTGAATATGCCCACCACTTGGGAAAAAAATAATATCCGTCTTTGAATGACTGCCAACTAGACTTCAGCACATATCAGCATCAAGACTTGATTTGAATATGAACAATAAGTTATGTTTGAAATGTTATCCAGTAAATAATACTGTTTCACTGTGACATTTCTAATGAACAGACGAAAATGGAATTACAAACTACCACAGTGCTCAAGTTTTACCCCTATATTTAAATGCACATATAATAAGCAAACTATGCCGACATAATCATAATAAGCATATTTTCGTATAGTACTTACCTAACCTGCAAACTTCAAGCAGTTTAACTGTGGAAGGACTGTTATCCAAATACATGAATCACGCATCGCCATATGTAGACAGTTGTTGTTTTCATGCGTGGTCAGACCGATTAAACATTTTGTACAGACAACTATCATCGACCAATCAAATATTAGCCTGCTCATAGAGTGAAAACTAGTCACTCCTCTGACTACTGTAATTGGACTATTTTATTCGACTGCCTTTGTTGATAGCTTAGTCATTCGTCACGTGGTACCAAATTAGATTTCTGTCGGACTGATTAATGCATATCATTGAAAGTAATAGTGTTTTCTTAGTGCCATCTATTGTGAGGTGGTGGGCGGTCCACTCAAAACCCATCAGAGAAGGGCATGAGAATAATAGAAGGCATAGTGACATTTAATGCATGTCTCGGAGGTAGCATTACCATCTAAACAGCCAAACGTGAACAGAGCATCACTAGATTGTTTCAATAAATCGAGTAGGTGTTCCAGCTGTGCAAAGTAAGCATTACTGGTCACATCCAGTAATAGTAGTGAATAGACCCCTAGTTCAGTGATTATGTCTTTGGATTGATTGTTACCAACCTTTGATTAGGTTTTCTGGATGTTGACTACAGTTTGTAAACAGAGAATCTGGCGATAAGCAAATCAATTTTAACTCCAGTATGATTTCTGCGTTCTCGGAAGTCCCAGAAACCAAGTTGAGAATTAATATAAAGGAACCACAGTAGTTTTGACATATGGTGTCTAATTATCCCATACGATGACCTAGACAGTTTGACATAGCTCAACATTTGAAATGGAAGCTTAGAGAGTTCCCCAGTGGTGTACCCAGATTTGACTTAAAAACATAGTTATTCAGACCAACTGAGTTGAACTGGTTGGAAGGGTTGGTAAAAGTAGACTGGAGTTGATGGCTTCCTACTACGTAGACCCTTGTCTAGCGTATTGTTAGTTCACGAGAACTGTATTCAATGTAGTGGTTAAAAATTTCAGCTTGCTGGTTTCTGACGAAAATATTTTGGACACCACTGTTTGTTTTTTTATACTACTTACTTTTGGAAAATGTTACTTTGGAGACTATAATTCGTACAAATTTTTCTTCTAATCTCTACATGTTTGCTGAAGCATATCGACACCAGGACAACGTAGGCACCGATTTACACTACTCAAAATTGAAGCCTTCAAATTTGTTGAACAACTCTTTAAAAGAAAACATCTGCCTAAATAAATGCTGTGCACGGAAGCTTAGCTCTGACAAGTTCATCACTGATCCGAACCCTGATAAAATTGTAGCTTCGTAGTAGTAGTCTCCTACTGTAACGATAACAACTCACTATCTCTAAGTCATACAGAAAAACAACTAGAACGGTCACAAGTGATATCTGTTTTCAAGATAATATTCATCACCGATTGACATCTGCTGGAGGGCCATTGAGAACCTGAAAGCACTGATCGAGTGTTTCGTCCTGGCATGGGACTCCTCAGCAGTACGTACCCATGACTTCTCCAGTGATCTTCATATATTACAGCGAAACTGTTAACCATTCATTTTCGAGGTGACTTTTCCCGAAGTTCTAATGAGAAACTGTGATCTATGAGGTCAACCAGTCGGAAGTGAAGGGAATGCCAATCGAAGATCTTGGTGGACAGTCACGCTATCTTGCGAATTGACACAAGTAGGAAACTGTGAACCACTGAACTCCGAACCAGTGATTGAATGGCTTGCGCGTCCATTGCAAGAACTGGGGGTTCTGAGTTCTACGCCTGGTGGGGTCGTGAGTGCGTACTTTACTAGGAAGAAATAGCTGTCCAGCGTTATCAGGTTTCCAATGGTTCTGCAATTGATGTCAGTCTATGATATTAATACTACCTTGAAATAAAATCCCTAAAGACCTCTGTTTTGTTTCTCAATCTGGGTGTACATATATTTCAATCATCAGGATTTACTCGCTTTCAGTTTTAACCTCATTTGCGCCCCTTTTTTTCTTCCCTACTACGAAGTGAATTCACATGTGTTGTTATGTAAACTACAACTCATACGTAGCTTTGTCATTTATACATACAGACGAGCAAACATGTCTCTATAATCTAATCTTATGGTAATGGATCACTCACTGATGGTTTATACCACGAGTAATCACTTTTAAAGGACTCATTCTTGATGAAACGAATAATCAGTTATTTGAAGCTTTCCAAAATATTAAAGAAAACTAAATGACAGCTTGTATCAAGCTGCATATATAACAGGTACTCACAGTATCTATCACCTTAAGCAAGTCATCGACTCAGCAAAAAGAAATGATTCTAATTCCCCTCTGAGTAACTTCTAATCATACTGTGTTAGGGCAGCTGATATGGTCACACCAATCACCTTAGTCTAAAAGTTATTTCTTACGATATCATATCCATGTGTGACAAGCTAAGAGGAACGGACAACTTACAGGTTTACATATAACGGGACTTGCTGAATATAGTAATTTAGAAGTTATGTGATTTCAGAGGGAACATCAATTTAATACTACCCATTTTCAAATAATTCTTCCAAATGTTGTCTATATGCGACAGACTTTAAAGGCCACCCTAGCAATAAATGAAATAACCAATTAGATTTCTCTGTTTTATCAAAGTTTGCCTTTCCATACGAAATGAAGAGATCTAATTGGTTATTTCAGCCATTGCTGGGGTGGCCTTTAAAGTCTCTCTCGATTTGCGTAAAAACTCTCTTAATTGGTCAATGTTTACGAGGTGGGCGTGTAAACCAGGGGGGTGACTTTAAAGGGCACCATAACAACTGCCAACAAGGAGCTCTGGGAACGAACCAACCAAGAACCTATCACACAACAAATATGCAGGAAGAAGTGGAGATGGATTGGGCATACACTGAGAAGGCCGACTGAGGACATCACGCGTCAGGCCAGTTGCTCGAGTGGAATCCCCATGGGAAGCGACGAGTTGGACGTCCGAGGGTGACATGGAGGAGGTCGTGCGAGGAGGAAATGAGAGCTTCTGGGCTGTCGTGGGACCAGGTTCAAAAGATCTCGGAGAACAGAGGTCACTGGAGGCGTGCTACTGAAGCCCTATGTTCCACTAGGAACCCAAGGGACTGATAATAGTAATAATAACAACTGCCAAAATAGCCAATCAGGTTGCGGTATTTTGTTTGGGAAGAATTTCTCATAGAATAGAGAAACGTGATTGGTTGTTTCATCAGTTGCTAGGGTGGCCTTTAAAATCGCCCAAACTAGGGTCATTGTTGACAATCTAATTACTTCATAAGTTATTTTCAGTGGACTCTAAACTAGTAGATGGGGATTGAACGAGGTAGAGTGAATCAAAGATATAGCAGTCGATGAGGCAATTTGTGTGTATATGGATGACAGTTTTTATACTTCCCCTTGACAATCCATCAAGTGTGACTCACCAAAATTAATTATTCTAGCCATTGGGAATCTCCATTTCAAGTAATATCTATCAGTTTATAGACAAACTGACAAGAACGTCTTATTTTCAGTTAGTGATTTCCAAGGTCCATCTTTCCCCAATACTCACTGATAGAAGCACTTGTGAACGTTGGTCGAGGATTGAGTGACGTTTTACTTAACATAAGAAAAACAGATACAGCTCCCTCTAACTGATCTCAGTCCCTGATTGTTCCCGTCCCCAAGAAAAGAGAAAAGCCCTCTTGTGTTTACTACATAGGAAGAATCCTGATGAAAATAGCAACCAAGATTTAAGGTTCTACAGCTATTGGGTACATTAAATCCAGGAAAACCAGACAGATTTCAGACTCTGTCATATGTGCATCGGTCAAGTAGTCACCCTCTAGCAATTACTGAGATCATACATTAGCTGTGTTTCTTGACCCGAATAAGAGATATTTAACCGTAAACGTAGAAGTCTTATGGCAGTATGTTATAATGTGGTAAAGAACGAAAATAGATGTAAAGTTTGGTTTAATGTAATTTTCAAGAACTACAGTATTCTTTTTTAAAGACAATTTACTCAGTACTCATCTTATAGCATAATTTTGAAATCACTTTTACAAGATTTCTATAGAATCGTTGATTATGGTTTCATGCCGTTCCATTGAAATGTAATAGCCAATTAAATATAAGCTGTACAACATTTCGTAGCCATTTCGTAGCTATTCATTTGCAATAAACTGTATGTTGTGGTTATGTCATTCAGCTGTATAAAACTAATAGCAGTAAATCTTAGGGAAGGTAAAGGAAGACTGCTAGGAGAAGAGTTACGAATACCTCGTCTTGTATTCAGTTCATTCGGTGACATGTAGGCTTGAAAAAGCATAAGTAAGTACACGTGTATTCAGTTAGTGAAGTGCACAAAAAGTCATCATGTAACAGTGTCAGAAATACACTCCTCAGTTATTAGTATTATTTAAGTTAAACCAAGTAAAGCAGTTTATTGGCCGTTAGCACTGGGTGAGTACGTCAATCCATTAAAAGTCACATACTCGACTAACAATTGCTAAGTTACAGCCTTAAGTGAGTTCTTAGTTAAGTTGTCTTCATCAGTGGTGTCATCATCGATGTCTACTTTCTGTCTCCAATTCCATTTAGATTTTCCGCAGATGCGCTTACGGAAGTCTTCATCTTCTCATTTAAATTTACAGGGATCGATCTTGTCACAGGAGACTTATGAATAGATCTAGAACATGGAAGTGATATAGTCCTGTAGGTAAGGATGTTGGCAAGATGCAGATTTTTTTAGGCATCATAAGTGGTAAATTGAGGACACAAACGAAAATTGTTGCTCCAGGATAGTTCCGCATCGATATCTTATTTTCCAATAGATTATGAAGTGGTTTGACGTATTGACCACTTCGCTTACTTTGGAAGTCAGGTGGGACATGATGGGCCAGTGACTGATAGAACATT